ATGTATTGTATTTTTATAATATCTAATTTAAATATAGTATTTTTATTAGAAAACAACTTATTATTTATTAATGTTTTATTTCTAATTCAAAAATTATTTCTTTAATTTTTTAGAATTACTCAATTTAATATAATATATGTATTTTTAGAAAATTTTTATACAATCTTCTTAAATAGCAATAATAAATCAATAAGTTGATCTATTAACTTCTATTCATTCTCAGAAAAAAGAATTTTCTTTAATTTGATATTATCTTTTCTAATTTCTTAGTTAGCTAATATATATAAATCAGTTTAAAATTAAGTGATTGTATTTTTTAAAAATAAAGATAATCTTAAGTATAATAAGTTAAGTTTTAATATATAAATACTTTTTAAATGCAATCTATAAGATTAGTATAGCTAAGTTTTTTTTGAATTTTTTTTAGTTGTTTTAGTTGTTTTTAATTTTAAAAAAATTAAATTATTCATTTTACATATGCTACTAAGATTTTTGCTAAAAGGAGTGTAATGACCTAATAAAGTAGTCAGGTTGTTAGCTTCCAAGTAGCAGGTTCAGAGTTCAAATTCCAGTATCAATAGAAAATTTAAAAATTCTCTTTGTATTATAGTTAACTGTCTCTTACAATTGGTTGTGATAAGATACCTGTTACCTGTATTACACTAGCATGACTGGCAAGTCACATAGCATTTGTATAACAGTTATATAACATTGTCCTTTAGGACAAGGTTTGTGGTTACACAAAGAAATGCAAACTGATACCAGGCAGTGCAAACCTACAATAAGTTCTTGTAGCCATATAAATTATAGGAACCAAAAAAAGAAAAACAGAAGCCCACTTGGAAGATCTAAGTAAAGAAGTAACCCGAACTTTCAATAGTGCTATTATAAAAACTAGACTTATGAAATAAAGCTAGAACTTGTAAAACTGAGCAAATATGTCTGTCTTTAAGAAGAGACTAAATAAACTAACCAGATTGTCAAAATTTCTAGATTTTAAAGAAAAAAGATATATGTCAGCAAACATGTAAACCAAAGATGTATAGTTTTGATCTACTTTTCTGAACTATTTGGAATGGCAGCTTGGTAAAACTTGAATTAAATATCAAAATAGTAAGAATATGTTGTGAAGTCAGTACTAGAATTGGAGTAAACTCTACAAAGGCATAGCAGTTTAATAGTATGTTCTGATCACTAGTATTGGTCTTAGCTATAGCAATACTGAGTTAACTATAAGAATAGAATACAGAAGATTTTGAAAGATTTAGTATAAGGTCAAAGATTTCAAAGAACTGCTTTAAAGACTTAGTAGCCATAGCATATTTTTATTAATATCAGCCAAGATTGTTGGTAAACAGAGATAAATAGATAAATATGAAAACTAGAATAATTAAATAGAGAACCTACAAGTAGGTTCCAAATGTAGCAGCTAGTATAAAACCTTTAAGTAGATTACTTAAATTAGACAATGATTAAAGTTGTATGAGTGGCTAGTTGCATACTCTTTCTATGATTGCCCTCTATAGTTGTAATGTAATTATTAGCCAAATATACTATTAATAAAATTCTGGATTATAAGTATTTACCTTAATATTTTTTTTTTAAAAAAAATCAATCAGTTAAAGCTATTGTAAAAGAATTAATATAATATTTAATCTATCCTTTTAAAGATGATTTAATAGATGCAACTGAAATATAAATGTTTAAAAAGCATCCAGAATTCTATGAATCAATGACAGAAAAAGTATAAAAACATATTATACTAAAAACATTGCAGAGCCAGTAAATATCTTTAATTTTAATTTTAAATAATTGTAAATATAATTAAAATTACAAAAAAAATTGAATTAAATTAAAATATATTAAAATTTTATTTATTTTCTAAATTTATTAATATTTTGCAAATATACAATATGTTTAATAACATTCAAATAATTTATATATTTATAAAGTTTTTATTATACTAAAAAATGATTTTATTTTGTTATAATAAATTTAGCTTTTAAAACAATACAAGCAGTGTAAAGTGACTTAACAATATATATAAAAGATGCAATATTTGCAGTTTTTAGTAAAAGCCAGTTAGATTCTATTAAAACAAATTCACTATCTTAAGAAGTTGCAACTTAGAAAGCTTCATCGAAAACAAAATTGTATTATAAAAAGCTTTTTAGATCAATTAATATATTAGAAGATATAGAGAAGATGCATATACAAAAAATTTTGAGCAAGTTTGGCCTTTGAAAATGTTGTCAAACATAAAAGTTGCATATACTATTAGCATATATCAAATTATGTTAAGTTCTTACTATTGTGACAGATAAACAGTGAGTCTGTTACTCCAATGAACAAGACCTTGTATAACATTACAAATTTAGGGTAACAAGGCTTTGAGATGTGAATAAAGATTTGACAAGTATCAGTTTTATTAAGATGACTTCGAACCTTTTTCTCCTCACTTGGGGCATCTAAAATTAGTAATTTTATTAAAATTATGCTTTAATTTTTATATATTTTGGTTGTTACTAATAAATTCTATTTACTTTTCTGGTTCTATTCCTATTTTCCCACCATTCCGCTACTATAGAATCACACCACTGCGGGTTTCACCTAAACCAGGTAAGTATTTGATTTTGTTGGTTTTACTTTTAGTTTATTTTATTATATCTATACTAACCTGTCCCCTTAATATTTGGATCCCGCCTCTCTGAAACATTGCATTCACGATTAAATGCCTTTCTGTTATGGTCATATTCGTCAAGCTGTGATTGTTTAGGCGTTTGGGGCACGATTATGCATGTTTCACTGTTTGTGGAGTTGATCATGCATATTCAATTCTGGGACCTGATCGGCATATGTACTACATATCATAATGCATGAGCCAGTACAAATTTTTTATCTGTAACACTATAAATGATTAATAATGTCCAAAGAAATAGTTAAAAATCAGCTTAAAAAAATCTTGTAAATAATTTTTTAATATTTTTATATATTTTAAGTAATATTTGAAATATTGCAAATTATTTTTTGTAAATTGCATTATTTTAAGATAATATAGCAAATTATTAATTTATAATAATTTGAATAATTTCTAAATATATAAATATAATAAAATAAAAAAAGATTAGAAAATATACAAGGTTTTGCTCTATCTACAGATAATGAAATAATCTTAAATGAAGAAGATGAGGTTAATAAAATAAGTATTAATTATTTTATTTATTATTGTATTATTTTTTATTAATTTTATTACAATCAGCTAGTAAAAGAAGAAGGCAAACTTCTTAGCAAATATCTGAAAAGATAAATATAATATCATAAATTAAATAATTGTATTAAATTAATTTAATTACAAAAATTTTTTATTTTTTATTTTTTATTCTTTTTTTGTTAAAGGTCATACTTGTGGCGATACTTTATTGACTTTATATCATGTTAGCTATTACAACTATTTTTACAGAAATGAGAGTACAGCTAGTCACATATGCAACTTTTGGTTGCCTATTTAAGTAGTCCATCCTAAGGTTCTACACTAGATGCTGTACCTATAATTTACTAGAAGATTATCTATTTAAACCCTCTGATTATTTGTCCTATTATATTGGAATCCCCAACTAATCTCCTATATATACCTAACCAGTATACCATCTGAGCAGTATAGTACCTATTCTTTTTGTACTGGTTTCCAGGCCATTACACATTTTAGAGTACATCACCTGCCAGTAAGACACAGGAGGCCTTCTGTTGTTAACTATCTACTCACTTTTTAGAACACTAACACAGGCTACCTTTGCAGAGTTCACCCAGACTCCAGTACTGACTTCATAGTATATCCTTAGTACTTTTAGTATACCCTTGCTTTGAACCAAAACTCCTAATCCAGATAGTCTGAAAGGACTGTGACCTGTCCTTGGTATATTGAGACCGGCCCAATATTCTTTTCCTCTGGTCCGAAATCTGGTAGCCTGATTGGTGGTACTCCTCACCCAAGGTTCTTGCTTACTCGAATTCTTCACATTGGTATCCATTTCCTAGGTTTAGCCTTTACAGTAGTACTGTTGAAGATCTGTGTTACCTCTATGCTCGGAATTTCCAAGTAGGCTTCAGCTTTCTAGTTCTACAGATTTATACAGTCCAAGAACTTATTTTAGGTTTGCATTGCCCGATACTGGGTTGCATTTCTCTGTATAACAGGTTATACAGATGCTCCAGACCTGCTAGTCATGCTAGTATAATCATAGTTATAGGTATTCTATCCCAACTGATCGACAGAATGCTGTCACTGTAATACTGTTTATATATTACATAAGTGTTATTCAAATTTCGCTATCAGTGGGTTTTAAACTCACAACCTACTACTTGAAAATATAACAACTTATTCACTTTACTAAGTTGCTACACCCAAAATTTTTTATTAATTTATTATTTAGAGTTTTAAAAGAGTAAAACATTTGCAAGCTTCTGCAGATACTTCTAAAGACATCAGAACTTCTACTGAGACTCAGACTAGTACTGAGCCTCAGATTGGTAAGTATTAAATGTAAATAATAATGATCTGCAAGAAGGAACCTCAAAAAATTAATATTTCTTATTTTATATATTTTTTTATTTTATATTTTATATTTTATATTTTTAATTTTTTAGTATTTTTTATATTTTTATCTTATATTTTTTTAATAAATTTAAATACTTTCAAATTATTTTATATATTATAGCATTTATTCTGTTAATTTTATGATTCACCAATCAGTAATACAAAATAATTAGTGTATATGAAGTAAGTATACTATAGATTTCTGGTTAAATTTTTGAAAATCGCAAAAGTTGGACTATTAGAAAATATAAACTATTACAGTATTTTTTAAAATCCCTTTTAACATATAAAGCATTATCATCTTATATTTTATTTTGAGCAATATTTTGGTTAACTTGTTTTTTTATTTAAATTGTTTAAGTAGTAGGTAAAGTCAGATTAGTGTCTTATTTTCATGCTAATTTTAATGATTTCAATTTATAGTCCATTAATTATAGATGCCTATATCATTAATAAAAACTATTTAAGGCTCAAAAAGGTATACATATTTTATAAAATCAAATATTGCTTAGCAAGGTCTTATTTTAAATTGGCTAATCTAACTAATTATATATTAATAGTAGATGGCACATCCTATTATTTATTTTGACAGCATAAAACTTATCTTTTTCTGAGTAATCAGATTTAATACAATTTTAATTAGATATATTTCCAGTTATCATTTTATCTTAACACTTACTTGTAGCTTATGCAGAAATATTTAATACACATTTTGCTGCCTCTTTTTTTGATTTTTGTGAATAATGATTAATCAAATTTTCTATTATGCTTTTGTAGAAACATTTTCTTCAATGATCTTTTCACATTCTACAAGCTCTAACAAACCATTATGCATATTACTAGCAGTATATTAATCACTTGAGTTTGCTTGGCCAATATAAAAAACCTTTTTAAAACTTCTACTACATCTTTTAATAATCTTTTTCTTTTTTTTTATATATTTTTGATTGTTTTAATGACTAACCAAAAGATAATAAGAATAATATAATATTTAATGCTCTGGTCATTAAATAAATCAATATAATAATAGATTGACAAAATATAGTATAATTTATTTAAAAAAAAACCAGGTTACTTACTTGTCAATATTCATCAAATCAATATTTTCAGTCACTATATTTTCTATACTAGTGTTATTATTTTTCAGATTGTTCAAAGTTTTAAGCATAAGTTTGTTTTTAAAACATTTACTAATTCATCTTTGAGTGTAATTTTATCAACAAAAATATTAAGATTCTCTAATTCTTCATGTAACTTAGTTATAGTCTACCATCTTAAATCCCATAAATCAGAATTAGAAACTTTGTATTTAAATAAGGTGTTTATAGTATTTAAATTATTTTTACTTTAATTTGTCAAATTTGAAATTCTAATTTTTATATAAATTGATATTTTAGTTATCAAATAAATAGTATACAGGCATAGTTCAGGTTTTTTGAGATGTAGTATAATTTGAATATTCAGGCTAAGATTGTTTAATATCTGATTTAAGCAATTTATAGATTTGTATAGATAAAATAAAGTAATAGGTATAAGCATATAAATCCTGCATATGGCCTCTCAATTGGCCAAGTCTATTCTAAATAATTAGATATTCTTAAAATGGTTTTTATATTATTTTTTTTCTATTTTTGTGATTAGGTTAAATATAAGCAGTTGAAGTTCCACTAAGGTTTTGTATTGCTTTTTCTATATCTTCACTATTTGTTATATTAAAACCAAGCCACATATGTTATTTTATACAGTGAGAAATCTAAGTACTTACAAATATTAGAAGATTTATAATAACAAATATATATAATACAGTAAGAGTGCTATAGAGAAAAAATCTGTAAGTATAAATTTAAATTCTTACTATGCCAAACTTATTGTATGTCTTCAAATTAATAGACCTATTGGCTAATTATAGATTATGATCTTATAACCCAAAAATTTATATTACATTACAATCACTTTGATTATATAAAAACCTCAAATTGCCAACACTGCATAATATAAAGAGAGCCAAAAATTTATTTAACCATATCAGCAAATTTATAGATGTGAAATATTTCGAAAGATTTTGTATAGCACAATAATTTCGAAATATTGTGAAATAAACTTCAAAATTTTTGCTAAATGCAAATATTTTGAAATATTTTGAAATATATTTTGAAATTATTGTGTTATACAAAAGATTTCAAAATATTTTACATCTATGTTCTATATTGCAGCAATTTGTTTTTTTTTAATTTTGATCTTTTGATTTTTTTTTGTTTACTATTTTTTTTTTCAAATTTTTTATTTACAATTTTTTTTACTTTTTTGTATTCATTAGCCAGTTTAATTTTTTGATTTTCATTTTTTTTTTGTAGTCTTATGCTTTGTCAGAAAGGCCGAAATTAGGATCTAACTTGGAACTAGTACAAAGATAAGTACCAGTTCACTTTTTTTTTGTTTTTTTTTAATTTTTTTTGTCATTACTAATTATTGTTTCTTTTTCTTTAAATCTTGTGCTTTATTGGGAAAGGTTAATGAAGATAGGATCGGGATCTTGAACTAGGATAAATACCATTTCTCTATTTTTGTTTTTTTTTGTTTTTTTTTTTGTTTTTTGTTTTTTTTTGTTTTACTAATTCTTGTTTCTTTTTCTTTAGGTCTTGTGCTTTGTCAGGAAAAGTTAATAAAGGCAGGATCAGGATCTTGAACCAGAATAAGTAACCTTTCTTTTTTTTTGTTTTTTTTTTGTTTTCTTTTTTATTTTTTACTTTTTTTTGTTGTTACTAATTCTTGTTTCTTTTTCTTTAGGTCTTGTGCTTCATCAAGAAGAGTTAATGGAAGTAGGATCAGGATCTTGAACCAGGATATGTAACTTTTTATTTTTTTTATTTTTTTTTGTTTTCTTTTTTGTTTTTTGTTTTTTTTTTTTGTTTTACTAATTCTTTTTCTTTTTTTTTAGGTCTTGTACTTCGCCAGGAAGAGTTAATAGAGGCAGGATTGGGATCTTAAACCAAGATAAGTAACCTTTCCTTTTTTTTCATTTTTTTTCATTTTCTTTTTTGTTTTTTATTTTTTTTTGTTGTTACTGATTCTTTTTCTTTTTATTTAGGTCTTGTGCTTTGCTGCAAAGAGTTAATAGAGGCCAGGATTGGGATCTTGAACTAGAATAAGTAACCTTTTTTTTCATTTTTGTTTTTTTTTTGTTGTTACTAATTCTTTTTCTTTTTTTTTAGGTCTTGTGCTTTGTCAGAAAGAGTTAATGGAGGCTGGGATCAGGATCTTGAACTGGGATCTTGAACCAAGATAAGTAACCTTTCCTTTTTTTGTTTTTTTTTTGTTTTCTTTTTTGTTTTTTGTTTTTTTTTTGTTATTACTAATTTTTTTCTTTTTCTTTAGGTCTTGTGCTTTGCCAAGAAGGGTTAATAGAGGCCAGAATCAGGATCTTGAACCAGGATAAATAATTTTTCCTTTTTTTTTATTTTTTTTTATTTTTTTTTTGTTTTTTATTTTTTTTTGTATTGTTACTAATTCTTGTTTTCTTTTTTTTTAGATTTTGTGCTTTATCAGAAAAGGTAAATAGGGATCAGAATCAGGATCAGGTCTTGAACTTAAAACTGGTATAAAATAAGTACCAGTTCACTTTTTTTTTGTTTTTTTGTGTTGTTAGTAGGTTTTGTGCTTCATCAGGAAGGTTTAATATAGACTGGAATATATAGTATAGTTTTTTATTATGTAATTATTATGTAATTATTATTTAATAAAAATTGAATAAAAAATTATATTTAATAAATAATAATTAAAAATTAAATAAATTAATAAATAGTTTTGAAATTTTTTTAATTATTTAGTAATAGTAAAAATTTTTTGATTATTTCGCAATATTGTGAAATTTTTTTAATTATTTCTTATTATTGCGAAAATTTTCTAATTGTTTTACATTATTGTGAAAATTTTCTAATTATTTTGCATTATTTCAAAAATTTGCTAATAATTTCACAATATTGTAAAATTTTTTTGATTATTTTGCAATATTGTGAAATTTTTTTATTTTGAAAGAATTTTGTGTCAATCACAGTTATTTTAAAAGATTTTCAGTATACAAAATCTTTCATAATATTTTGCTTATATTTTTTGCTGATGCAAATGTGAACAATAATTATTATTTAATGAAAATTTTTAATTAAATTAATTCTTAGCTTTTTTTAAATTGTGCATCTTAAAATTAGAGCTTTATATTTATATTTGTTATTCAAATAATATTCATATTTGACAGATATTTGAATAAATAATTATCTAACAACTAATTTGAATAAGTAAATTTTATTCAAATAATAAAATTTATTCAAATAATTTTTATTATCTAGCACCTTACTATGATTATACCAACAAAATAACTTGAGTTATTTTGATGATGATTGTATTATTATCAAATAACTTCATTATTTGATGATAACAATTATTACTAAAAGAACTTATATCATTCTGTTGGTTCAGTTATTGTAAGATACTAAATAATACTATTATTGAAAGCTACTTAGCCAATAATTCATTTATCTAGCAATAAATTTAATATATCATTTCTGGGTCTCTTTGAAGTTTAGAAGCTAATATATTAAACTTAACAGCCAGATAATAAATTATTTTACAAATAATTTCTGTTATTGGCTGCTTTGCATTCAATAACTATATATTATTTATCTATATGAAACTTTGTTTCACATATAAAAAAACTATACATTATTCGAATAAACAGTACTTATTTGAATAATATTAATTATTTAGCAAATATTTAAATAAATATTTGTTGATCAAAGTTATTCGAATAATATTTAGATAAGAAATAAATAAACTCTATCAAAAATAATGTCTTAGAGCATTATTTCAAAATTATATAATAAACTCGGAAAATTTAATAATTAGTATCAAATTTTAAGTTTAAGTTTGACATAATGAGAATTTATATTTTTAGGGTTTCTTTTAAAGCACTTGTATTATAATACCTGAGCATGATAAGAATTTATTGTTGTTTTAGCTTTTTCTGTTTCTAAGAATATTTATTTTTTACATTTCATATTATATTATTCTTTTCAATATAATACTATTATCATTATCTCTGAGTTGTAATAATAAGAGCTATTATCAAATATAACAATAAACTATTTTGGTTTTAGTTCAAAAAAATTGAATATAGCATTAAATAAAGAAGCAGTAAGCCAAGCATTTTATTTAATGTCAGCAGACCAATGATCAAAAACATGAATATTTATATTTATTGGATTTTTAGATTTAGTGAATAACAGAATGGTATGTAATGTTTATTCTCATTTTTCTAAAAAATTTTGTTTAGTTTTATGAGCATGCTTTGCTAAAATATATATTTTGTAATTTACAATTATTAAGGCATCATTTGAATTAAGCTGCATTAAATTGGTGTTAAGTTGGCTGTTAAGATATTGTTTTCTGATTTGATACAAAATATAGTACATTAATTGACTTTGTAATTCATTTATAATTTCTAATTTTTCTTTAGGAATTATATTACATAACTCTTCAAAAAGACCAAATATTTATAAACATTCTTGATATTCTAAAGAATAAACTTTATTACATTCTCTAAATGCAAATAATAAATAAT